AGGGCTGCTCGGGTGACACCAGTCCCTGCGTCGGGGTGTTTTCGCTGCTGGGCTGGGACAGCTGGTTGCCATCTCAGCCGTGGTTATTCTACGGAGTGCTGAAGGTATCCCGTCTTAGTATCTCGGTGATGACACGGGGTGGGGGGCAGCCAATAAACCCAGGACAACCTGTCCTCGGGAGTTTTCTCCTTTATTTTAAAATATTGAACATCTGCATTGAAAGGGAAGAGATATTTTGGCAGCAGCCATTGATTAAGGTGTCACTTGTCAGGTGGGCCTACAGCTCTGCTCCGGAGCAGTATTTCTGCTGGAGGACACCTCCCGGGGGTGCTCTGGAGAGGAGGCAGCGTTCCCCGACGGCTGCCCTCGGCTCCCGGGCACTGCGTCCTCCCAGCCCGCGGAGCGTGTCCCGCTCTGGGAGTGGGAGGGAGGGAGGTTTGGATTGATTGCCGAGGGGGCAGCATTTTTTAAAGCCTGTCGTAAATTGATGGTAGGTGGAGCGGTAATGAAGATAAATGAGGGAGCTCTTCCCGGTAGATTAGCCTGTGTGCTGACGGATGCTGTGCTACGGCTTGAAATGCCTTTGGCCTGGCTCAGACCTCCCGCTCACCTGCCAGCACTCCTCGGCACAGCTGGGACGGAGCAGATCTTCGGGGAAATCGCCCCCCCTTGAAATTCAGAGGGCTTCGGAGGGCCTGGGGTGAGACCCGGGAGCCTCCCAGGTAAACGTCAGCACGAGGTCTGCAGGAGCAGAGGGCGGGAGGTGCTGCTCAGCCCTCTGCTGCTCTCGCTCCGGGGTTCGAAAGGGAGACGGTTTCATTCTGTGAGGAAGGCGTTGGGCAGTGGGGAGGTGCGGTTCCCGTAACTGTTTAACACTCTGTTAAAACGTCACCTTTTTGCTTGTCGGTGGCTCTGCGGCAGCTCTGCTGAAGGTCCTTTTTCTGCACGAGCGATCTCGGTGGTCGGGCACGGAGTAAAGTGCTCTGATCTGGCCCATGGCACACTCTTTAAATTCTTTGAGCTGTTCTCATCAAAGCAGTTTTCAGAGCGGTTTTCTCTCACCCCTTAAACTAATATTTCTAGGGCCACTGGGTAAAATCCCCGCTCAGAGATGCTCTTCGTGCAGTAGCCGATGGGTGGCTTAGGACCAGAATAATCTTCTTCGCCTTAATCCCCTCCTGCCGCTCTGCCCTTCCCTCAGCTCGTGGCTGCAGCCCGCTCCGCTCCCTCTGCCCACACAGCTCGCTGCTCCTCGGAGAGCTTCGGCAGCTCCTCCTGCAGCAGCAGCAGCGTGAAAGCAGACCCGGTTAGAAGTATTTGCAGATCAATGTTACGGTTGACTTGTCCTTCCCCATTGTTGTTGTAAGCTTTTAACTTTTATGAGATCTTGCTTTGAGTGTGTGAAACGTCCTTACCTGCCCACCAGCACGATGATGATCAACATTAGGAAAATGACCATTTTTCCTGGGTCAGGAGGAGAGCATCCCCTGCCCTGGGCGATGGGCAGCCGCGCTCTGGGAGCGAAGTGTCGAAGCGTCCCTGTCAGCTTCAGCATGTGCTCCGCAATCCCAATGATTAAGGGGTTTTTCACCACGATCAGTTTAGTTTGTGGGTTCAACTGTATTACTTGTACATTAAGTCTGTTTGTGTGGACTGGTACCTTTCGACCAGGTATGGACATTAAATAAAGCATCTTTGTAATTGTTGCTCACCCAAGTTGGGGGGGAAAAAAGAATTGAGGAAATTTCTAAATGTGAGAGGAGTTTGTCTCTGTAACAGACCTACTGGCAGCTCTGCAGCCGCCCGTCCCTCCTCTCATCAGTTTTAACTGATAGTTTAAGTTTCGGGTGTTTGGTTTGCTTGGGATTTTTTATGGGCAAGATTTGAAACCTGACATAGCATGTCCTGCTCGACCCAGTGCTATGGCATCAGCAGTCCCAGCATGTGCTGCTGCTTACGAAAGATTCCCCGGGGCTTTGCACGCTGGATGCTGTGGCTGTGCGGGAAACAACAGCTAATTCCTGGGGGGGAGGTCTGTGCTTTAGGATCGCGGGAGCTGCAGGCAAGCATGGAATCACAGAAGGGTTTGGGATGGAAGGGGCATCGAAGACCACCCAGTCCCCCCCCTGCCCTGGGCAGGGACCCCCCCGACCAGCCCAGGTTGCTCCGAGCCCCGTCCAACCTGGCCTTGAACACCTCCAGGGATGGGGCAGCCACAGCTTCTCGGGGCAACCTGCCCCAGGGGCTCACCGCCCTCAGAGTGAAGAATTTCTTCCCAATATCTCATCTAAATCTCCCCTCTCTTAGTTTAAAGCCGTTACCCCGTGTCCTATTGCAACAGGCCCTGCTAAAAAGTTTGTCCCCATCTTTCTTCTGAGCCCCCTGTAAGTGCTGGAAGGCCACAAACCGGCAGAAGAAATACTGTGGGGGAAGTGCCCAACCGGGTGTGTAGGAATTCAAAAAGCAAAGAACATGATTTTCTGATACAGGTTTATAATGAACTTTGACTTAAAATAATAAGCAGTATACACAACATACAAGTGAGTTTTACAGAGACGCTGTTGTATCCGTTGACTTCAGAACCTACCAGTAAGTTCACAGGTTTTGTTTGCTTTCTCTAGCCCTCTGCGGCCGCCAGCATCGAGGGGCGGCACTCCTCTTCGTGCAGTCACTCAGGTTTCAGTTCCAGCTCACAGCTCCGCTTGTCACCTTGGCTGGGGAGACGGGGAAGCCTCGTGCAGAGGCTGCCCTTGCTCTGCGGGGTCGGCAGCGCGGCCGGGGCCGCTCGAGGGCAACGCGGGGAGCACGGAACTGTCTCAGGGGTTGGCAGCACCCTTCCTCTGGCCTTGGAAAAAAGTAAAAGCAAGAATGCTTTCTGCAAGAGGGGATTATTCTGAACTAGTGTTTTTTGCCGGTGAGACTTAACTGCAATGTAAATTCTCTGGGGAGGTGCAGGTTCCCTCAGCCACCGCCTCCCGACGCTCGGTCCTCCGAGTCCGTATGTGTCGCACCGTCCCTTTGCAAAGAGAACAATGGGCAACGGCAGTTTCACGGGTCAAGCAGGGACTGCGGACTCCTCCTAGGTAGGGGATTAGTTTTGCTGAGCAAATAGAAGGGTCCACGGTACCTCCTGGGAAATGTAGTCCTTTCTTTAGTGCTTTGCAGAATTAATTAAATAAAAGCCATGCAGTTGAACTACAGCTCCCAGAATGTCATGGCCCTCAGGGCTGAGGGGTTTAAAAAATTGCAAGGGGGGGTGGCAGTGGATTCTTCCCTCCGTGCTCCCGTCTCCTCAGGTCTGGTCCAACCACTCGGCCCGTTTCGGCGCTTTACACGTGTGCACGTCCACAGTGTCCTCGCACTCCTTGCAGCGCACAGCGCAGCACCAGTGGAACTTGCACTCGCACTTGGTGATGCGCGTGACGCGCGTGGTGTCGTACCCCCGCCCGCAGCACATCACCTCGCAGCCGTCCGTCCCGCGGGACATCTTGTTGCAGATGCGGCCGGCGGTGCCCAGGGAGCCTGGAGAGGGGAGCGAGAGCAGGTCAGCGTGTTCCCCCTCCATCGTGTTCAAATGCCTCCTCCGCCCCCCGCCCCGCAGTTGTTGGCAGTGCCAAGACTGGGCATCGGCCATGGAGACCTCCGATACGTCTGCCTTAGCAGCGGTGAAATCCAATTCCTGTCACAGCGCGTGCGACAGTGCGGTGCCACAGCGCAGCATCCGAAGGCCGGGCACGGGCTGCGGGGGAGAGACGCGGAGCCGTTGCCTGCTTCGGTGAGGGCACGGCTTGCAGTGAGCCTGGCCAGGGACGCCGCTCTGGGGACCCTCTGCGTGGCCCCGTCCTGCTGCGGGAGCCTGTGCCCGCGGCTGCCCAGAGCCCACGGGGACGGGGTGCCCAGAGCACACCCTGGGGCAGCGTGTCCCCACCGAGCCGGCTGAGCCCCCTCTGCTCGGGCTGAGGGCTCGCTGACGGGTGGCGGGAGCACGTGCTGCGTTCCCCACCGAGCCCCCACGGCTACTGCGAACCCCTCCCCCGGGGATGCTCCAGCCTGGGAAACCATTGACCTCCTCTGCTGGGGCCCAGCAGCCCTGACACCGCCTTCCCCGCTCTCGTCCCAGCCCGGGCTGCGTTCAGAGAAGCCGGCAGCCTGCTGCCCAAAACGGGCTCTTTAGTGCCTGTTTAAGGGAGCTTTGCTCTGCAGGAGGAAGGCTCTGAGGAAACGCTGCGCTACATCCATTGCAAGAGGCCTGATGGGTTGGGATCTTTGGTGTAAAGCCTGAGGATTTTGGACAAACCCAGTCCTGTCTGCGCAGGCGTGAGGTGCTGTGGGAACCCAGCGAGCACCGACAGCCGCTGAGGGTGTGGGTGACCCCCCACTGCGTGACTCCCCCACCGGGGACTGGGGCTGGTGGGAGCCGATGTCCCTGGGCAGCCCGACCAGGCTGGACTGGGTGGGAGCTGCTGGCCTGTCAGGAGGGGAGGAAGAGCCGCTTTTGAGCAACAACTGGAGCTTTGTTTTTTACCTGCTGACTTGTCCATCACACAGTAATCAGGTGAGTTCTCAAAATACACCAGATCTGTTTTCGTGGGCTTCCTGAAGTTCTTGTTGGCCACCGTGAAGCCAGTGCCATCCTGGTTCATGGTCACCTGGATGGCCCCGTTGTATTTCTTCCTTAGGTAATCCCCTGTTTTGCGAAAATCTGACATTGCCAGCCAACAAGTCCTTAGTGTGCAGGAGCCGCTGACCCCGTGGCATTTGCACTCCAGCTTCAGGAAACGCTTCACAGCCTGTGGGAAGAGGGATGCCATGAGGACCAGCAGTCACCCCGGGCATCACACATCGCGCCTGCGTCTGCTCGTCCCTGGTGCAGCTTGTCAGCCCTCGCCTGTGCGGGACGGGGCTCCCAACGGGAGAGGGGCATTGCGGACGGAGGACGCGTTCCCACAGTCACCGACGCCAGCATCAGCGAGGACACGTGCTGGCGGCAAAGGTAAGCAGGGCGCTGCCACCCCATGGGGCCATTCCCCAGGCAGAGCGTGCGGGGGACACCGGGAAGGCAGCGCAGGGTCCGGCCCCCGTCTGCAGCAGGACCTGCGCTCCGCGGCCACCCAGCGTCCCGCACCGCTGCCCGTTCCCGTGCCGGGAGGTGCCGGTGGGACGGCTGGCGGGGCACAGGGCTCGCAGCGGGGGCCGCACTCACCATCCTTCCGCAGCGGTTGTTGTGCAGGTTCATCAGCGCCCGGGCGTCCTTCACTTTCTTCTCCTTGGCGTCCACAAAAGCTTTGGCGAACCGGATCCCGTAGTTGATGTTGTCGCTGCAGCCGCCCCAGTCGAACTCCCCGCGCTCGTCCTTGGAGCGGCCCCTCTTGAGCGGGTCGCAGCTGCACGCCTTCAGGTCCCCTTGGCTGCACGCCCGCGTGATGGCGTAGACCACTCCGGCCGAGGAGATGGCGTAGACGAAGGCAGCCTCCCTGCTGCCTGCCACGGGGAGAGAAACGGGGATGGGGAGTGAGCGTGTGGGGCTGTGCTGGGTTCCCCCAGCCCGCCAAGGAGCGGGACATGGTGCGGTGGCACCTTCGTGACTGGGAGGGACACTGTCCTGCACATGGGGAAATCAAACCCAGTCATCTCTGCTGGCCGCCGAGTCCAGCCGTGGCATCCCTGCACCTTTCAGACTAAGGGGGATTTCGTGCTGACCATCAGGGCTCAGCAGCTCGGGGTGTTGGGCTGCTCTTAGGGCTGCCCCACCGGTCCCCCTCGCTGACCCACAACTCGGGGGCCACGTGGTGCTGAGAGGGCAGGACCAGCCGGTGCCCTTCGGCCCAGGCCACCTCCCTCCCGGGGCGATGCCAAGCGCGGGAGCTGGCGGCCACTCCGTCCGGGTTCAGCTTTCCCCACACAGCACAGCATGCCGCCCGCTATTTTACGTCTCTGGTTTGAGTTCACAGCTGTTTTTATAATGCTATAAAAGAAGCTGCAAATCAAAACCATGTTCATCTTCATTTTTGAGAGCCTTTGAAAGCAACTTCAAAGGGAGCAGAGCTCTCTTTGGGCCTCGCAGGATGGGGCTGTGGCGAGGAGCTTTCATCATTCCCCATGCTTCGCCAGGAGAGGACGCGGCGGGAGTAAAGGTGCCGTGGTGGGGATGGAGAGGCTGAGACCGGACAGGCTGCGGCATGGCAGGGTGAGTGCCGCGTCCCGGCGCGTCAGCCCCCTT